AACACCCGAACACCACACCCGAACACCACACCCGAACACCACACCCGAACACCACACCCGAACACCACACCCGAACACCACACCCGAACACCCGAACACCACACCCGAACACCACACCCGAACACCACACCACTCAGTATTTTCAAGAAATAAGACCTGTTGTAACATCTAGGAAGCCAATTATTACGTGTACCAAGCTCTTAGAACCTGAAACCTTCTCAATTTCGAAATAATGCTTGATATATGCAACAAAGTCAATCATGTGATCGGTCACGTGATCTGTCACCTGATAAGATATCTCATTATCAAATAACTCTATAATCTGCTACTACAGATTAAATATAAATACCTATAGTATCATCAGAATTCCCTAGAGTATCTACTTGCAAATTTATATTAGATTCGGGCTTGATTTGAAGAATTTGATTTTTCACTATATTGACCAACTTTGATTACCAATATCTTAAGCAAATAAAGAGTTCTATGAAAAATGATTTTAACCACATTAATCAGTGCGTTTTAAAGATGCTATATTCTTAGTTTCAAAACAATACAAGCTCAAAATAAAATTTCATTTGCTTAGTTGAACAAAATTTATGGGCCCCCACAGTAAACAAAAATACATATAGTCCAAGAATTAGAATTGATATCGAGCTCAAAGTTTCCATTCTAACTAAACTCAGGGCTTCCCCAGTAGATCCAAAAGAAAGTTCTAAATTCAAATCAGTTTTGAGAGTTCTATATAGCATTTTCTATATTTTAAGCATTATAAGTAATTTGAAATATTTCCATAACCTGAAGCACTTTAACCCAAGTTAGAAATTCTATTATATAAGTGAGGCCCAGTAATCTAATTACACTTTGTTTCATGAATTAATTGTGCTTGAGACAAAAATTATCCCTTGATAAAATTACGACATTTTGACAAATTCAAACAACAACCATATTTTTTTGAAAACCAAAGCAATTGATGAAACACTTATATCCATGAGATTCTCCATGCTCACTTGATTGATAGATCTAGTTAGACTTTGATCAGACTTTCAAAAATATCATAAATGTTGAAAATCTTGAACCTAGTATACACTACAACCATTAATTACCCAACCAATAGTAAATTAATAACCAATAGTAAATGCTCATCATAATACTAGACCAATGCTTCTACAAGATCCTTCAGCAATAGAAGATACCTTTATTTTTAGTATAATATATCTACATTTTCCCGAGTGGCATCTCCAAACTGTATAACCACCAAAATTTCACCACCAACAAATACCATAACCCGTAAATGCCAAACAATTAACATACTCTGATCCAGCAACACAACCTCCATGTATAGCAGCTTATCCAGCTATAAAAACAATATTTATATCCCTGTTTCTGAAATCCAAAAATGATTAGGATCTTATACCTAGTTGAAAAGACTGAAGACCAAATAGCATCCATAATAACAATATCCATTTCCACCAGCTAGTTTATATTAGGAACCATTAGTTCATATAGCTTTAACTCATTCTAATCTATTTGTTAGCTTCATTAATAATTGGACATGGCTCATTTGCAAATTTTATTTCAACACCTAAGACTTTCTACTTTTAGCATTCACATTCTGAGCAGCAAAGTGGATGGTTTACAATCATTTGGGCAACTAGTGGAACAGTAACTTTTGATTCAGCCTCTGCTAAATCACACGTTGTTAACCAACACTTGATTGTTGAAAAGTAATCAATAAAACATCACACATTATTCTCTTTTGTAAGACTTTCAATACCATAAAGTTAACCCCTTTATAAACCCCCATTATTTTATGGTTTCTCATACATTCAGTTCCAATTTATTGACCTAGAATAACATTGATCCTCCATACCCTTTATGATTTAAAAAGTTGACCATCCATTCAATTTGATGCTTGAAATACCTAATCTGATTAACAATTGGCAAAATAAAGCATGATAATATATCTACCATTGATTAGCTTTCATGAGACTCATATTTGTAGTCATTGATATTGTTTGTTGTTGTTGTTTTTGATTGTTGTTGTTGAAGAAAATTCAGGGGCAAACATTTTTCAACGACATTTTTCAAAACAAAAAAAAATCGACGTAACCGGACTTAGCTTCTTAACTACTGGAGAATTTTTGGAGGGCACATAAAAGAACAATATAGACTCTTTCATTAGAGAGTAACAAGTTCAGTAGCATAATTAAGATGCTGAATAACTATAGCCAACTTTTGGAGACTCTATAGCTTCAATTGGGTCAGCTGTCATGTGATTTTGACCAATTTTCAAATTCGCGGAACAACATGAACAACATAAACAGTGACATTTCCACAGACTGAAAGCATTTTTTTGATATTCTACAACTACCAGGCTATTCAGTTCCCTTTATTACCCTAATAAATCCTCTTATGGAGACTCGTGGCCTTTTGTAGCAATTTCCATTTGGGTTTCAAATTTGAAATTTTGAAGAATTTTAACAAGTACATAAAACATCATTACTATACCAATTGCTATTTCTGAATCCTCATTAGATGGACTTTATGGTTAAGTGCCAACCATAAATCCATATGCCAAAGGAATTCTTGACAGGACTTCTGGAAGTACATAAAGAATTCAATTTCCCGAGAGGCCTTCGCAACAACGAAAATCATATATCTAAAAATATTAGTACTTATAAAACATGAAATTAAAAATTGATTAATGTAGCGTTAAAATTCACCAGTCTTTCCATAGAAACCACCCGACTCAAAACATCTTGACTCAATATTGGCTTCAAGATCGACCTTCTCGCAAAGTCATGAATTTCAAATATGAAAATTTGTTGTCAACAATATTACTGATTTTCCAAGATCTACCAAGAAATCCTGAAGAATTACACTGTGGTGCTATGGTGCCTTGTATACGCTATCCACTGGTACTACGTCTTCTTTGAAATCCGGAAGTTCATACTTTTGACCTATTGTTGTCGTCGGTGATTACCCCAGATTTTAAGTATCATCAAGTACCTACCTCAACAGAACAACTCAAAATCCCTGATTAGGGGCGCTTATATCTTCTCATTTTTCTCTATAAATCCCACTAAATAACTAAGAATCTACTGTTGCTGAAATTTGGGTATCCCGGGGTGAACTGCCTATAATGTTGACCTTCACTATGGACATCACCAAATCCACTATTCCCTTCAAAAAACCACGAAATTAGAGACCTTTTCTACCTTAACATATAGAATCCCATTCCTGCCATCTCATGTCATTGTTATGTTCTCTAAGTCGGAAGATTAGATCCACTAGGGTACTACTATTTTTGCCATCAATTCCACTTTTGACCAACTTTAATTACCATTATCTTAACCAAATCAAGACTTCTGTGAAAAATAATTATAACCACGTATATGAGAGCACCTCAAGGAACCTACATGCTTTGTTTCAAAACAATACAAGCTCAAAATAAAATTTCAGATCCTTAGTTGAACAAAATTTTTGAACCACCATAGTGAACAAAATTGCATATAGTTCAAGAATTCAAATAGATATTGAAACGTTTTCATTCGAACTACAATCAGAGCATTTTGTGAGACTTGAGCTTCATTACATTTGATAGCAGCAGTTTATAAATCGTAATCAAAATATCCAGAATCAGCCAATAAACCATTAACTTCCATCAGAAATGTTAACTACACCTGTAATTAAATCAGTTCTGTGAGCATCAATAATTGAAACATCTAATGGGGTGTTTCTAGCCAAATCTTGAATCAACAATTTATCATTCTTAACATTGGTGACCAATGGAATAGCATAATCAACAGCCATTCAGCGAGTTCTGTAACCTTTGGAAACTGGTAAGTTGATGTACAAATCAACCAAATTTGGCCAAATGATTCAATGAAAATTCATATCTTTGAGTTTCGTCATCATTGACAATTTTCAAATATTGCACTGGGTTACCATGTTCTTTGGTGAAATCAGCAATACCAGCAGTGGCAAATATTTTGTAACCTAATTCACTTAAACGTCTAATTGAAGGTAATAATTTCAGTTTATCTTTGGTAAATGAAAACCAGTAGAAATCAATGATTTCAAGTAAGCTTCACATTTGTTATGACCAAATGTAGCAACTTCACCAGTAGAGGCCATTTCAACAACAAGAATTGGATCAGCACCAGATAAACGTGAAAATGAGAATTGAGGAACTTTAACACATTCTTCTGGTGATTTGAACAATGAATGTAGCATCACCAGAGTGAACACCAGCATTTCCAACGTGTTCTGAAACAACATGCATGATCAAGTTACCATCTTTAGCAAGAGCATCCATTTCAACTAATGGTAAAGAAATAACACCTGAAGATTGTTCAATTTCATAAATATCGAAGATACGTTCCAAGTTGATAGTTTCTAAGTATAATCTATCAGTTTCATCATAATTAGTTGAAACAGTTTCTGAATTATAGTTAACCATGATAGTTTTAGTACCATTGGCACGTAAAGTTTTGACTGCTGTAACAGCACACGAATCAAATTCAACTGAAGAACCATTACGGTAAATCCTAGAAGCATAACAACATGATCTTATTTAACTTGAGTTGGTTCTTCACCACCAAAATTATTTATAAGCTGAAGCATCGATATCACCTTCAGGGATACCATCCAAAAAATTTTAAACTGGTTCACCAACGTTGTATTATTTTGAGCAGCAACTGAACAATGTAAAATACAAGTTCTACCAATATCTTGATCAACAACGGCTTTAAAATCTTCAGTTTACCATAAGGAATTATAAATCTAAAATTGGGACTAATATTTTGACATAATAAAAGGAAATAATCAATATCTTGGTGGTTAACTTGTTCTCTAACTTCAAGAGATATGGAAACTAACTCACCAGTTTCTGGCTAATATATTGAAGCTTGACAATCCAAGGATTTTGGAAATCAATATTTAATTTCCTGAGAACCAATGCATCTTGTAAGTTATTCTTTGGTGAATTTAAAATAGTATCATCCAATCCTTCCAACAATAAAACATCTCTAATAGCCAATTTAAGAATTGGTTCATCCATTTCAGATCTAGCAGCAATAATTCCACCAGATGGTTTTTTATTTGCTCTCATTTATCACCGGAAATCCCTGGGGCATTCAGACATTGAGCCTTTCACTATTTAACAAAGCTATTGTCAGTATTTGATTGAAGGACTAGAGAAACTATGGTGGCAAACGTACGTTTCATCACAAATGTTGATGCTGTTGTTGTTGTTGTTGTTGTTGTTGTTTGTTGTTGAAGAAAACAAGGGGCGAAAATTTTTCGACGACATTTTTCAAAACAAACATGACATTCGAGTGCCCGGCCGAACTAGTTTCTTAACTACTAGATAAACTTTGGAGGACGTAAAACAACACAATATAGATCATTTAATGAGATAGAAACAAGCTCAGTAGTATAATTAGGCTGCTGAATAGCTATAGCCAAGTTTTGGGAGAGATAGAGTTACAATTGGGTAAGCTGTCATGTGATTTTGTCCAATTTTGAAATTCGCGGAACAACATGAACAACATAAACAGTGACATTTCCACAGACTGAAGCATTTCTTGATATTCTACAAATACCAGGTTATTCAGTGTCCTTTTTTACCCTAATAAATGTTCTTCTGGAGACTCATGGCCTCTTGTAGCAACTTCCACGGCGACTTGAAATTTC